AACAACCGTCACGGTTTTATGAATTCTGTATCCATATTGTGATACTGTCCCGCCCGGCGCGGCGTTGCCCGTGCCAAATAAACGTGTAACAAAAACGATTTCCTCCTGGATTTCTTGTTTCAAACTCCGCCATTATTACTGCAATCAACCGTTGTTGCCCTTAGATGTTTAAAAACGCATTTTCTTTGTTTTTATTTTCAAATTTACATATAAATTAGCTATATGGTTGCTAAGTAATGCAAAATATCTGATAATATATTTTTTTATCCAGCCCAAGCTACTGCAGATTAGGCCGTCTACTACTTATATTGGTCAGACCGATGTTTTTAACAGCTTAAAACCTCATTTGCGATATATTGCGTAGGATTTAAAATAAAACACATTACGATTGGACGAGTAGTTTCGGAGATTATCCCGGACATTAAAATGGCACTTTATTTTTCATATATATATATAAAAAAAAAAAAAAAATTGACACTGGCAACGCCGGGCAGCATAGCTTATATGTGTATAATATTGTATGATATGCCAAATGCCAATTTTTTAATATATATATATTTTTTTTTTATCTATTATATTCCTTTTCTAATCTTGCTTGCCGTTGCTCGTAATACCTTTTTCTTTCGTGCTTCATGCGTACACCGACCAATCGATTTCCGTTCGGTGGGCATAACTGTCAACGGTGCAGTATTCGAGAAATCAAAGAAATGTTGTGTCGTATGTATTCGCACGTCTTACGAATACTACGTGTCGATGTTTTGCGTATGTCTCGCGTCACCCACGAACCCGTGAAGCGCGCACAATATCGATTCATTCGTCGGCAATTAAAATTAAATATTTTCTCCGCAATCGCGACAAAAAAAAACGCGTAGTTACCTATACACACACTCGTAGAACACGTACCACGGACGTCACAAGAACCTGCGCACGTCTTTACGCGGGTATTCATTACGGTACAGTAACGTCTGTGATACTGCGTGGTTTATGTGTTCGTCCGTTTTTATTGTATTGCGCGTTGCGTTATTGTCGATCGCGCGATGCCTGCAGAGCAGATCGTATACAGTTTATTGTTGAATGAATACAAATATTTTGTATACGTATATACATGAATATTGGACGGCAGTAATTATTTCATATGTGTGGCTCGACTTCAGCAATGTGGACGCGACAATAGTCCGGAGAAATCGTAAAAAACGTCTACGACACATAGGTATAGGTATTTGAGTATTAGACCGGCATACTAACGGCGACGGTTCGCTTCGATAAACTGCAGCTGCAGCAGCGTTATATACGGTTCTTTAACGCTATTTAGAACTTCCAAGAATTACCGAGCGAAAATATGTAACTGCCTAATTGGTAATTAGTTTTTATGAAATCGGCGATGGTAACTGAAACTAGATTTGTGAGTGCGTAAAAAAAAAAAAAAAAAAAAACAATAAACGCAGTGAGATACCGATAGATCGGGTATTGCAGCAGAGGATATCTCGCAGCAATATAATACTGTAATGGCTTACTTCGATCACCCCCCCGCCTCCCCTTTCCCGTTATCCTCAATGTCGCGGGACGTGTATTGGTATATAATGATTGTTATTATATATAAATGATTTTTTTTTTTTTAATTCGATTGCTCCGCTCATTATTGCATCACGTTCGCTAAAACGATTCGGTTACAATAATATTACGATTATAATACGATCGTATTTTGTTTTTCGTCGATTTTTCTCTGCCCCTCAAAAATTGTCTGCAATTAAATTACGAAACGAAATAGTCCGCGTGGAGTGCAACAGTTCTAAATTATTCGTACAGTGTTCGAAACTATTCGATTTCGTACGGCGCTCTATATCATTTTTGGCCCGAGGATACTTTAACATATACTTATTATCATTATAGATGCGATTGTAAACTATATTATACATTAAAAAATTTTTGAAAAAAAAAAAAATGTATATGTATAACAATAAAAATACAGCTAAATACATAAACGTAGCTAAAAATGAACTTAAAATTTGTTAATTTAAAAAATTTGTTTAAAATTTAAAAAAGAAAATCACCGAAATACAATATGTTATTTGAAAATATAATAAACTTACGTAATGACATGTTGATTCAATATACATAGTTGAATCGTACCCTGTAAAATGTTATGAAACAATTCAAAAAGTCGATACTGCTCGCATGACGAGTAGGCCACTGTTGTGAGTAGTTCGGAGTGTAGGTTATATAATTGATTATAGGGTAGTTTATGTACTGCGTATGTATACTGGACTCCGAGTGGAGTAGTATTAGTCGTGTCTCTCCACTTATTACCATAGGTCACTCAGAAACGAAAAAAAAAAAACCTTAACAAAATGGACTAACAAAAAAATTGTCGAATCTTTTACCGTCGGCTTACCGTGTAAACAAATTGAAACATTTGCCTGATTGAAAATTGTCAAAAAAATACCTCGTTCAATAATTCAGTATGCAGATAATTAATATCGAAAAAAAAAGAAAAATTACACAGATCGAGCGTATTCTACGCATAAAACAAATTATAGTTTCGTATACTATTCGAATGCATTTTTTTGGGGAGGGGGAAAGTAGTATAATATATATTTTTATTTTTATTATTAAACTCGCCGTCATATTAGAGTCCAATCAAAACCCGCCGTTTTCGTATGTAACGTAATAGTATAATAACGATAATAACTAATAACGTCGGATATAATACATAATAATATTATAATAGGTATAACAATGAAGGTACCAGGTATACGCGGTATAATACCTAACCTAACCAAGGAGGAGAATAACAACGTCCACCATGTAATTAGTGTGGACCGAGTGGAATTATTAGCCGCGGCCGGACCTATAAGTCTGTAAAATCATTATGCACGTATAGACGGATTTTTTATTATTATTATTATATTTTTTTTTTCATATACCCAGAAATAACTTATCTCCTACTACTACTACTACTACTATTACTACTACTATTCCTACACTATACTAACCACCTAAGTGTATAAGATACGACTTCCCTCTCCGCCGTTTCGGATACCTATACCTATGTGTATACGCATGTTGTGTGTTTTTAATTATTTTCTAAGATATCGGATAGTCTTTTTTTTTTTTTTTTAGTTCCCTACCCTTTTTCCTATTGCACATTATATTATAATAGTCGTACATACACACTCTATCGTACATGTACACAATATGTAATCGCGGGTCTCGCTTAATTGGGTAACACCCACAACTGCTCACGATTTATAAGGTTCAATCTGCAGCTCCGTCACCGACAAACTGGTCGGCGGGAGACGACGCGGGACGGGAATATAATATTTTTGTTGGCGTACATACAGTATAAATAATACTTGTTGGTAGGTATCCGGGATCCGGTAATTTTATTTGTCGATTTTGTTTTTTTCTCGTACGCACGGTTGAAAATGCCATTTTCATGTTTCTCGTTTGCCTTTATACAATGTATAGCCGCGATCCGTTTGATTAAAACTTCCACGTAAATTATTGTACATTATCTACGGACTTTATATTAGAATTTCGCGTATAAATTTGGTTTGAAAATTGTTACACGCATCTTGTAAGGGCCAATGTACAAGTATTCGTTGAAAATACCCGCAGGTTTCTACGACGATTTTCAAATCATAACGGAAACCGTTAATGCCGTACATTTTCCCGTTTTCCCAACGTCGTATACCCCATATTAGGAAAACTATACAAAAAGTCAAAAAATTACCTCCTCAACGCACCAATTAGATCCATTTTGGATTTTGGTCAACATTTTGCTACAAAAAAAAGGCCTTTCGTCGATTTTTCGGTCGCAGTAATATTTCTAGTAGAAAAGTGTTGTTAACGAACAAAAAAAAAAAATAAAGCACGCATTAAACTAAAACCTCGCTACACTCGGAGTCTAAAAATTATAATTTTAAAAATTCGCTATACTAATGAAAAATAATTAAAACGAGAGTCGAGTTTTCTTTTTGGCGTTTACATTTTTCAATTAATTTTCTTACAAAAAATTATACACTCGGCATCTTATAAATATATAAAAAAAAAAAAAACCGAAATTTTCAATAAACTGTTGTATTCTAAATGTACATTTTTACGAAACAACTTATATATATATATATATATATATATATATATATTTATATACACCTACCAATTGTACCAAATACTTGTACGATATCTCGTTTTTAATTAAATTGCATTTTCGGTAAAAAAAAAAAAAAAAAAACACAAGAGCCACAAAGTTCGAGCCTGAACAACAGCATTACACCCGAGTAATTATATAATATTATTACTTATAAATTGCATTGCAATTGTTTCACTGTGTCAACTATTGAGGTTAACAACGTTAACCGGATCGCGGCGTAAACACTGTACAAATCCGAACAATTTATGCCAAGGTACTTTGCCATAAAATTATTATTATCTGCACCGGAACGACCGGGATGTTATTTTTTTTTACAAATGCGGTGTTATTCGTATCGCGCTAAATATTTAGTATGCGTTTAAAAAAAAAAAAAAAAAAAAATCGTTTTCTCCTCTCGGCGGTAACTGTAGTATTGTAAAGGGTGAATTTTTTGTTTCGTTTTTCTACCACGGTCCAACGGTTTTCTCATTGGAATACCGGTATGCGTTGCGTTCGAACGCAGTTTTCGATTTGACCGGGCCACGTGCGTGGGCAGACGCACATCACGTTTCGTATCCTTTTTTCCGCGGACCTTTTCCCACGCGCCGCCTCGGTCTACGGTACTGTCCGCGTACAAAGGCGATTTCGGTGTTAAACGGTTTTAACGTTCGGCGTAATCGACGAACGAACGAAAACCGAAAAATCCGTTGCGTACTTTCGCGGCGGACGGACAGTGACGACATCCCCCCCCCCCCCNCCCCCCCCGGTCTCCCGTCCCCCGCCGCCGGGCCGTCCGTCCAACTAGTGTCGCCGCCTCCCCGCGTTCTCCGCGACGCATAATCCGTTTAAAGGGCTAAAGTCCCGTCGCGAAGAATGTAATTATTGACCTTACCCTATTATTGCGCGCCTACCCCGTTGTTCTTATACGTATATAGTTGTCTTTATATTATTATTATCGCCGTCGTCATCGCCGCGCTACACGCGCGTGCAGCTACACTGCGCCCCTCGGCCGGGACTCGGCGGGTTAATCCTGTACGCGCGTATACACACACACACACACACACACACACACAAAAACCTTATTCTCCGTACCGCCGCCGCCGCCGGCGTCTTCGTGGGGTGGGGGGGGGGTAGGAGGGAGATTTCGCGTATACGCCGCTCGGGGTACTGAGGGGTGCGAAACGAAAATAAAAAGAGTGCCGAGGGTGGCGAATTCCGTATCGGTTATACGCACTCCGCCCGCGCCGTTACGCGTACGTACATACGTACGCGCGTCATACACACAGAGTGCGGTGACGCCGAGTCGATCGTCGTTCAACAGCCGTTACGGGTTCGGCCGCGTACGCGGCGTTATCGTTGTGTCGCGCGCCGCCGTAACGTCGTAACCGCTGCGTAACGCGGCGGCGGCGGCCGGGGGGAAACAAACGAAAATCTCGAGCAACGCCGCTAGACGACGCGCGGTTTTTCGGGGTTTTTTTTCGTTCTGTTCTCCGCGTACGGTTTTTCGGTTACCGGAGGCGCGTTCGCGCGGCCGCGCGCGCCGTCGAAAAGCGCGCCCGGTCGGTTTTCGGCACAATGCCGGCAACTCCCCCGGCGGTTTTTCCAGAATAATTTTGAAAAACCGCTCGCGCCGCCCGCTCGTTTCTCGTCGATTTCTGCGGAGCCGTCGCGGCGACCCGGACGCGACCGAACACCGCGTCTCGTGGCTCACCGGCTTGCTCCGTCCGCTATCTCTCGGTCTCGCCGCCGACAGTGCGACCTGTGTCGACTCCGAAAGGACAAAAAAAATGAAAAAAAAAAGAAAAGAAATAACGACACGAAAACAATTGAAACCGATTTAATCCGTACGCGGAACGTAATGGACCGCGACAACCGCGCGCGCCGCGTCGCGGAATGCGCGAATACCCGGTGACGACAACGCCGGACAGTAGACAGTGACACGGGCGAGCGTCGCGCGGCCGGAACCGCGTCCGGCACAACCGCCCGAGCCCGACCGCCTTTACCCCGAAAACCGTTTTTCGACCGTGAAACAGTGCCGTCCGTTTCGCGGCCCGGCGTCCTCCTGCCGCGGCGCGCGATTGCGGCGGGCGCGGGGCCGCTCGGACGGCCCCGTGCGCGGGATCACGAACGCCAGCCGCCGGGTCAAAGGTGAGAAAGGGTTGTCGGGTTTCGGTGGCCCGCCGCTCGGATTACCCGGACATTACGGAATCAATACTACGGCGACCGCGGGATTAAATGTTAATTAAATTTCGGATTATTTGCGGCCGAAAAGAGATTGGACCGCACGGAGCTTACGACGGAGCGTGTCCGAGATCTCGGAACCGTACGCGACCGCGTATGAACCGCGTGATATTGAATTGTACGAAACGAGACGTCCGCGGCCGAACGAGGGCGTCCCCCGAATGCCTAGATTATTGATGCCGCAGCCGGATCGGATTTTCGGGTTAAGTTTACAAACCGTCTGCTGTTTTCGTTACGAACGTCATTAAATGGTCAGCGTTTATCTTGAAAACGTTACGCAAATAATTTTCGGACGAATTTCGGAATGGGGAGGGGGCAATGCGAAATCTCCCCCCCCCCCTTCTCTGTCTATTACAATATTCGATTTTATAGACAAAAAATGACGCGATCATATCGTAACCATATCCGGTTGTCCGACGCGATCTTTCCGACGAACCCATCGCGCATCATCATCGTTAAGTTGAATTTCCGGAAGGCGACGAGGTAACTTTGTCCGTCGTCGCGTCGTGTTGCGAGCGATTATTCAAAAATCGAATGCGCCTGTATTATTGTTTTTTGAATACGTTCTCCATAACCCAATGGATTGAAAAATAATGGAATTAATTTAACGGCTGAAAATTATACAGGGTAAGTCGTATGGATTCGGCGGCCGGCCATAAAATATCGCCCCCGGGCATAACTATTGCTGCTGCGTAAGTCGACAATTACCGTCTTGGAATAAAACGGATATAAAAACGGAAAAAAACAACAAAACAAAACAAACGAACGTTTGAATTATTTTTCATTTAATTCAAACGTCGTGGCCGTCCCTTCCTTTTGAGTCAACACTGCGCAATTAAAATTCCTATTTTTATTTTTTTTTTCCGTTTTCAATTAACAACGGGGGAAAAAACCGTTCGTGTACAATAAATTTCAGCGGGTGTTTCGATTATTCTCGTGCGATACATTATGCAGGACCATCTCCCCCCCCCCCCTCGACAAATATAATAAATTTAATATCGCTATAAAAAAAAAAAAAAACAAGGAATTTTCTCGTATTATTCGACGAACCTCGAACAAACAGTTTCGTTATTGGATATTAATTAACGTTCGTCTTCTGTTTTTTTTTTCGCCCGCCAACGGCCTTCGCGGACAACACACAATTCCCCTTCAAAATGATCGTCCATAACTCGTACCCCGCGGCCGATCTACGTCTTCTTTCGCGCCTCTCGGGCTCCGGCCGACCGTTGGTTTTATTCATCCTGCGCTCGTCGCTCTACGCATCGCACGGCCGTTTACAATATCGTTCGGAAAAACGTCCGCGGTCCGCGGTTTCTTCTCGCGGCTACGTGTGTTGCGACCCGCACATTCTCCCCCGATTGTCCGCGTTTGACATTGTTTCGCGTAAAGTGTGTGCCCCGGGATTTCGTTTTCGAAAGTTATTGAACTTTGCGCCTAAACCGAGTATATCGATAAAAAAAAAAAAAAAAAAAAAAATACTCCGCTCGAAAACGTCGTGAAATTAATAAATAATCTTGAAAAAAAAAAATAATAATACTCGTCCGGTCGTCGGCGTATAATCGCCGACGGAATAGAGCGCGTATGTTGCGTGTACACATACACGCATGAATATGAAAAAAAATAATTAAAACCGAATACGTTCGATCAGATAAGCCATTAATTATCGGCGTTTCCGTTAGTGGACCACCCACGCCACGTTCCCCGACGTCGGATATCATCTCCGGCGTTCGCGGATGTCCGCGGTCTTCGCGTCTAATGGTTGGCGCGTACGGGGCGTGTGACGTACCCCGTGCCCCGTACACATTCGAAAGAAAAAAAAAATTCGTAATTGCGCGCGATCGAAATATCATTGCGGTCGCAGCGCGTTATTGTTCACGCGCGCGCCCGTTTTCTCGCCGAAAAGCCCGGTAAAGGCAATAATGTAAAAATGAAGTTCATTTTTACAAACGTAATGCTATACAATATTAATATAAAAATCTTTCTTTTTTTTTTTTTCGGGAAAAAAAAAAAACCGAGGGAATCCCTCGGAAGATAAAACATCTTCGTCGGCAATCGAAATAAAATATTTACAAGGTCAGCCGCCGGGGGCCAATGCGCGTTAGCCGCGGCGTGTGTGTGTGTGTGCGCGCGCGCGGCCGAAAGAAATGAAGTATCTGTCCCCGTGGACCCCGTGGTACCACACGGCGGCGGTCTGACTAAATGGATACGAATGGGCCATAAAAAAGATGTTCGGGACGACCATAAAAATGAATCATTTACTACTATATACGCCGACTCTATGCCGCGCCGCCGCGCGAACACGGCGCCGTTCAATCATTGTGATTGCCCGCGGTATATTTACGTTTTTAATCTCGCGGCCGCGCCGCAATAATGTTACCCGGCGCAACGGTACCGCGCGGTGCGCAATAATGTCGCGGCGATCGCGGCCGGCCGAACGTCCCCGGGAAGTGTTTCCGGTCGGGTAGGTCGCGACAACGGGTTTCCCCCCTCCCCCTCCCCGTCGAACGCGCAGTGACCGCGCGTTTACCTGTACGGGGGGGGGGGCGGCGAAACTCCGGAACCGATGCTTCGGAACGAAATTCGGGCCGACAGCGGCCGAGACGCGGGCGAACCGCCCGGGTCTGCGAAATTATCGCCCCGTCCGACTTTATGCGGCCCGCGACAAATCGGGTACCGTTATCGATCGTCGTATGCACGCGGAACTTTTGCACGGGACGGGGAAAAGGGGCAAACGGTTTCGGCGCGAGGAGCATTTTTTTTTTTTTTCTTCAAATCTTCGTATGTACATAACTGTGGACGTTACGTAAATGTAAAAAAAAAAAATGGTCAATGTACACCCCTCCCTCCCCCGCCGTCCCTCACCCATTTCCGTGAAAATCGCCCGAATTATTCACGGCGCGCGCGTGTGTGTGTACGGCACTGTGGTTTTATTTCTAAATACGTCTAAATATTTAATTTTACAGTCACTCGTAGACGTCGCGCGCCACGGAATCCGCCGAATCCGGAAATTTCCGTCGACACCGACAGGTTCGATTGCGATTGCGGAGTGCGCCGAGACCGGCCGAGAACACGCGTGTCGTCTCCGTGCGATTTGTATGCGCGCCGCCGCTGTTGGCTGGTCAAATCGAATCTGCGCCGTTACTGTAATTCGCCTTGGGCACGGTCCGAGCCGCCCGACTGCGGCGAGCCCGCGAGATTCCGGTTTTTCGCGATTTTTTCCCATTTGAAAAGACAAAAACAAACGCGTTTGAAAAATATCGAATCAACGAAAACACACCCGTGGCCCGCCGTTGTTTTATAAATGTTTTCTAAATGTCACGACGCAGACGGGAAAATACGGAAAAACGAAACGTTTCGTCGTATAAATCATTGCGTTATAAAAACGATATTTTATGAATCTCGATAAAAATACGTTTACGCCGTCTGGCGCGTTATCCGATATTCTTGATAACAACGAAACACGCACCCGTTCAAGTTTCCCGTTCGCGGCAGCGGTCGGCGACGGCCTCGTGATATTCCGACGCGTGGCCATTATACTCGTAATTACGGCGGGCGTCCGGTTAATAAAACAATAAACTGCCGAGTGATATATTTTTTTTTTTTTTCTAAACACGTTACGCGCGACGTTATCGCACCCTACGATATTGTAATAAGGTTTTGTTTTTTGTTTGGACGGCGACGCGCCCGGAGAGGTCGTGTTAGGGGTCGTACCCCGATCGTCCCGTCGGCTTACAGACACAACAAATATCTGTGAGCCGAATTTATTCGGCGGTTTTCCCAAAAGGATCGTATGTTTCGCACGGAATCGTACGGAAAAAAAAGCTTTTATTTATCGGATACGAATTTG